ATTTGGGAGGCTGGACTTTATGTGGAGGAATGTGGCATCAGCACAGGAGGAAGACTCATTGACAACCTACATTTTGCAGATGACACAATCTTGCTTGCCGAAATTAAAGAGGACCTGAAGCATTTGCTGTGGAAGGCCAAGGACTGTAGTCTTTTAATATGGATTGAAGATCAACATCAAGAAAACAAAAATTCTCACCACTGGGACAGTTGGCAATACCTTGATAGATGGAGAAGAGATTGGGGTTGTTGACAGTTTCAACCTGCTTGCCTCCATAATCAACACTCTTGGCACCAGTAGTCAGAAAGTCAAAAGATGAATTGGGGAAGTCTGCTGCCAGGGTCCTCTCCAAAGTGCTAAAGAGCAATGATGTTAGTCTAGAGACTAAGGTGCTTCTCATTCAGACCATAGTTGTCTCAATTATTTCCTATGCATCAGAGAGCTGGACAATGACTAAGGATGACAGAACAAGAATTGATGCCTTTTAGTTGTGGTGTTGGAGAAAAGTATTGAACATACCATGGATTTCCACAAGTAGGTCTGTCTTGGAGAGAGTGAAGGTAGGTGTCTCCTTTGCAGCAAGGATATTAAAACTCCATCTCACATACTTTGGGTATGCGGTCAGGGGGTAACAGTCTTTGTAGGAGGACATCATGCTTGGAAGGGTGGAAGGACAATGTGGGAGAGGAATACCCTGGATGAGATGGATTGGCATGGCAACTGGGGTAATGGAATTAGGTGCGTCGGAGTCAGTGAGAATGGCTTAGGTTAGGGCAGGGTTCAGCGCTATTGTACATAGGGTTGCTATGAGTTGTGGGCAACTTAATGGCACATAACAAAAACAAATCTACTATATAAATTTGTGGGACGTCAAAAAGCTGAACACAGAAATTCCATATGGCCCAGCTGTTCCACTGCTAGGAATATACCCCATGAAAATTTGGGCTGAGACACAAATGGAGATTTGTACAACTATGTTCACAGCAACGTTATTCGCCATCACAAGAACATGATACAGTCCAAATGTCCAACCGTACTCAAATGGATTTAGAGATTGTGGTACCTTCATATGAGAGAATACTATGCAGCACTCAGGAGCAACAACTTTGAAAATTACCACATAACTTGGGAGAAACTGGAAAGCATTATGCTGACTGAACTAACTCAATCTCATAAGGTCAAATACTGCATAAGACCATTACTGTAAAAATAGATAACTATTAAAACATTTATGAAGATACAAGGTGGGGGAGGGTGGGAGCAGAGGGGTGAGGATTGGCACAGTGTGGTGTGTGGAGGGGGCAGTAAAGGAAATGGGAAAGATTGAAGTGGGGATCTGGAAAGACTGGGCATAGCATAGTTCAATTGTGATTAATTTTATAAAACTTAACAAATGGAAGCCAGTATAAAAAAAATTGGTGGAGACGGTACCACTTAGATTCCTCTTATTTAGATTGTTTTAAAGTTACTTCTTTTTCACATGGTAAAAATTCAGAAAGGGTAAGAGGTATCATCTCACCCCAGTAAGAAGAGCAAAATTTAACAGAACAGAAAGCAACAAATGCTGGCAAGGTTGTGGAGAAACTGGAACCCTCATTCACTGTTGGTGGGAGTGTAAAATGGTGCAATCACTGTAGAAGGCAGTATGGCGCTTTCTCAAAAAGTTGCACATAGAGATACCATTTGACCCAGTAATTCCATTATTGGGAATATACCCCAAAGGGACCATAACTGCCACACAAGCAGATATATGCACACCCATGTTTATCGTGGCTTTGTTCACAATAGCAAGGAATTGGAAACAACCTAAGTGCCCATCAACAAACAAATGGATAGAGAAGCTGTGGTATATTCACACAATGGAATACTACACTACATTGAAAAGCAAGGAACTCATGCAATCTTATTCAAAATGGGTGACCCTGGAGGACATTATGCTGAGTGAAGTATCTCAGTCACAAAAGGACAAATACTGCATAGTGACTCTGTTGTAAAACTGACATCAGGGTTGGGGGGAGACTGAGAAAGATGGGATAAATAATGCATACTGCATTGAAACAGATGATGGAGAAAACTTTTAAAAAGGGATATGTGATTAGGTATTATTGTCATGACAGGAGTCCAGAAGGAAGGCTGTATAGTGGAGTGGACCTGGGGGGAGGGATTGTAAAACAATGAAAGAATTTTTCTTTTACTTTTCAAAGAGAAGAGTGTACTGGGGTTGGGGAGGGGTGGGCAGGGAGAAAAGTGCAACAATGAATGAATGGAAATCCAAAGTCTCTGTAAATTTTCATTAAAATTAATAATGTAAAAAAGAAGCTCAAAAAATTCAGAAAGGACAATATGTGCATTGATAAATTTCCCTCTTACCTATATGCCTTAGTCACCTTTTCCACACACAACCAGTGTTAAGATTTTTGTGTTTTGTTCTAGAGATTCAAAGAAACACCATATATATTCATCCCTCTTTGATACAAATGGTAGCATATATACTTTTTGTATTATGCTTTTCCCCTCATTAGTAATGTATCTTGGATACTTATAAAGCCACTGTATTCTTTCTAATGGTTACATAATATCTTACTGAATGGCACACCATATTTTATTAAAGCCAGCCTCCAATTTGAGTCATTTCCAATATTCTAGTATAATTAATATAAAGCCAAAGTGCTCATTGGAAGCAAAGATAATAAAGCTTCATCTCACATACTTTGTATGCATTGCCAGGAGAGGCTATTCCTTGAAGAGGGACATCATGCTTGGAAATGTGGAGGGTTGGTGAAAGAAAGGAAGACTCGCAACCAAGTGGACTGACACAGTGACTATGGCAATGGGCCTGAGTGTGTCAGAGATTGTGAGGGTGGCACAGGATAGGACGGGGTTCAGATGTGTTGTTCATAGGGTTGCTATGAGCAGTACTCAACACGACAGCATCTGACAACAATGACAACATTTAAAGGGGTTAAAGCAATGATCATCTGTATATATCATTTCTCACGTACAAATTCCTGAGAATGTGGAATTGCTAGGTTGAAGGTAATGTGCATTTGTACTTTTGATTCTGTTGTTGTTAGATGTCAGGAGTTGATTAAGACTCATCAAGACCTGTGAACAATGCACTGAAACCTTGCCGTCCTCACAGTCTCCACTGTGTTCAAGGCCAATTTCGAGAGCTACTATCAAATTGCACTTTAATGAGGTTTCTAACTGATGATGGACCAAGAGGCAGTCGTCAGAACAGAGCAGGGCAACACTGCATGGTTCAAAATTGGGAAGGGTGTACACCAGGGATGTGTCCTATCTCCATACCTTTTCAACCTGTATGCAGAGCAGATTATCCGAGAGGCTGGGCTCTATGAGGAGAAGCGTGGTGTTAGGATTGGTGGACGATCTAGCAACAATCTGCGTTATGCAGATGACACAACCCTGCTTGCTGAAACTGAGGAGGACCTCATGCACTTACTGCAGAGGGTCAAGGACTGCAGCCTTCAATATGGACTGAGGCTCAATGTCAAGAAGACAAAAATTCTCACCACTGGACCAATCGGTAGCATCAGGATGGATGGTGAAGAGACTGAGATTGTTCCCAGCTTCAGTTTGCTCGGCTCCACGGTCAACACTCTTGGCACCAGCAGCCAGCAAATCAAAAAACGTATTGCGATGGGAAAGTCTGCGGTTAGGGACCTCTCTAAAGTACTCAAGAGCAACGGTGTCTCTCTGGAGACTAAGGTGTGCCTCATACAGGCCATGGTTTTTGCAATCACTTGTTATGCATCAGAGAGTTGGACAATGGCTAGAGAGGATAGAAGGAGAATTGACGCCTTTGAGCTGTGGTGCTGGAGAAGAGTATTGAATGTACCATGGACTGCCAAGAAAACAAACAGATTCATCCTAGAGAGGGTTAAACCAGGCTGCTCCTTGGAGGCAAGGATTCTGGGGCTTCGTCTGACATACTTTGGACATGTTGTAAGGAGAGACAGGTCTTTAGAGAGGGACATCATGCTGGGTAGAGTAGAGGGACAGCGCAGGAGGGGAAGACCCTCTATGAGGTGGATTGATTCAGTGACTGGGGTAATCGGGGTGGGTGTGTCAGAGGCAATGAGATTGGCACAGGATAGAGCACGGTTTAGGGCTGTTGTACATAGGGTCGCTATGAGTCGCAAACGACTCGACGGCACATAACAACTACAACAACAACAACTGATGATGTATGAGACTAATTGTTTCCCCACAAATTATGTTACCTAGTCATTCAGTCGTCTATAATTCAGGAAACGTGGATATTAATAGTGGTATTTTGCACTTTTCTTATGAGTAAGATGAAGCATATTTTCATATAGTTAAAAAATACCTATATTTAAGATCTATTTTCACTTCCTTATCACTGAATGATCTGTTAAAGTCCTTTGCCCAGTTTTTCTACTGGGTATTTTGAAGGGTTTAAAGTTCTTATGAATTTTTTGGAGCTATTTATATGTTGGGGAAATTTGCTCTGTGTACAGTAGTATTTTCTCAAAGTTTGTCTCTTTTTACATGAGCTTATGTTACTTTTTAATGCAGTTTAAAAAATATTATGAAAACAAGTTTATGAACCTTTTCTTTATGAGGCCTAGAGTTTGTATTTTAATGAAAAAAGACCTTCCCCGTGATGAATCCAAAACTCACTGTTGTCAGATTGATTCCCCCTCATAGCAGCCCTCCACTGCTTTCTGATGCTGTAAATGTTTCTCCCACAGAGCAACTGATGGATTCAACTGCTGACCTTCCACTTAGCAGCTTGATCTTTTATGAACGATTTTACCAGCCTTCCATCATTATGAAGGTACAATTCTTCTATTGTTCTCCATTATTTTATTGCTCTTTTGGTTTTGTCATTTTTAAGTCTTTGATGTGTTTGAACTTCCCCAATGTGTGATGTGAGGGCTGGTTTCAGTATAGTCTGTTTTCCAAGTGGCTACTAAGTCATACTTGCCAAATTGTTGATTTAGAACTCCAATCTCCTACCTTTGCATGTTTTCCACTTCCTCTATAGTCTCAGGTAAAGCTTTTCCTTTGGTCTCTGGTAACAGCAACACCAGCACTCCAGCGATCAAGCCAACCACCCCTGAAAGCCAAACATAGGCAAAGCATGTTAAGGACTGAGAAGGATAGGCCGTGTCGTCTCATCTCTCCTGATTCCAGTTTTGTGTGGTTTCTTTTTTTTTTTTTGTAACTTATTTACAGCATCCTGTGCCATCTTTGACTGCCCTATTGCCATCATAAATAGTCTGCTGGCTCCAGACTTCCCTGGATTCCAGTTCCTTATAAGGACTAAAATATGTACTTAACATCTTGAGCCAAGATTTATTCTAGGCTCGAGGACATTTTCACCATATTAAGATACTTCAGGGTTTGAAAATAACACTGAAAAAAATGGTAAAAAAAGGACAGACATAATGATCCAGCACAAAGCACTTAATAATGGATTTTTATTAGCCAATCGAAGTAATAAACCATGCAGCACTGCAGAGCATCATTGCAGTGGAGTCAGGTTTTCGGTTCAAAGTCAGATGTTAAGTAAGTTCCTGTTGCTCTTTCTCCCTTCGTCTCTGGTTGAAAACTGCAAATTCTGGGAGTAGTTAATAAACACTGTAATGCTTTTGCTGATTTAAATTCTTGTGAAAGTGTTGGACTTTAAAAATTACCTTTCTCTGTGTATTTCACAGTAATTGGGGTATTGAAGTAAGTGTGTCAGAGACGATGAAATTAGCTCAGGATAGAGCAGGGTTCAGAGCTGTTATGCATAAGGTCACTGAGTCATCGTTGACTCGACAGCACCTAACAACAACAACAACAACAACCACAGCTGTGTATTTGTAGAATAGATTGCAAGAAGCAGGCTTCTGGTCGTTCACAGTTTTGGGGATTCAGGAGAATGCTGAACCCGTCTGTCACTGGCCTATGGGTACTTCCCACCCTCAGTGCAAGTGCTGAGGATGAGAAGGGGCTGCAGGGACATTGGGGAACTGCCTGCGCCTTGTCACTAAGCAGCAGGTGGGGTTCTCGGTGAACCTCACTCAATCAGCAAAGAAGTAGGGCTTAAAGTGCATGGCGCTGGGCATTTCAAAGGGCTTCACATTAACTGCTGTGTGATCTAAACAGCATGTGTAAAGACAGTTCAGAGACCTACTTGAGACCAAACATCCCATCTGACTACTGTTCATCAGTGACTTTTGGTGCATTGAAGGAGTCCTGGTGGTGCAGTGATTAAACTGCTAATTGAGAGGACAGTGTTTTGAACTCACCAGTCGCACTGAGGGAGAAGGCTGTGATAGTCTGCTGTCCTAAAGATTTAGAGCCTTAGCTTCAAATTGTAAGGAGCTCTGCTGGCCTAGTGGTAAGAAATTGTGCTGCCAATGCAAAGGGACATGGTTCAAATCCACCAGCTGTGATCTGGAGAAAGATGGACAATCTCCTCCCATGTGACTTACTGCCTCTGAAAACCTGTTGTAGGGTCAGCTGTGGAGCAGTTGGGTCCAACTTGATGGTACTCAACAACAAGCTGCAAATTGCCACCCTAAGGGGATAATTTTACACTATCATAGGTGGTGGCCTAGTGGTAAGGAGCTGCAGCTGCCAATCCAAAGGCATATGGTTTGAGTCCACTAGTTGCTCCATAGGAGAAGGATGGGCAGTCTCCTCTCGTGGGATCTACTGTCTCTGAAAGCCTGCTGGAGGGTCAGCTGTGGGTCGGTTCCTGCTCAGTGGTACATATCAACAATAGCAACATCTGGTGGCCTAGTGGTAAAAAGCTGTGCACCCAGCAAAAGGCACGCGTTTGAGTCCACCACCTGCTCTGCAGGAGAAAGAGGGGCAGTCTCCTCCATGGTTCCGAAAACCCTCTGGAGGGCCAAGCATGAGTTGGTTCTGACTTGATAACACACAACAACAGTAGTGTCTCTGTGAATTGGAACTAGCTTGATGGCAGTGGGTTTGACACAACTGAGATCTGAGATTCTCAGTGAATATAAGCCACCTTCCCAAAGTCAACCAGCTTGTAGAAGATGGTCAGGCATCCTTTGAACTCCATCTCTGGGAGTGCCAAACCTCAGTGCACTCTTCCTTTTACATGAAGATACCAAAAGGTCCCCAACTGAGCTGTAAAGAAAACAATGAAATCCTCAGCATATCTATGATGTTGATTGCCATAGAGTTGAACCTGACTCATACTTGACCTTCCAGCAGGTTTTCAGAGGCAATTTAATTGCCCAGGAGGACATTTCCCAAATTATGTTCATATTGTGGATTTGCACTATGTCCTTTTGTCAGATTTGTTGTGTATAGGGACTTGACAGCACCATCAAGACAGCATGTTCAAGACTCTTCTCCAGCACCACAACTCAGAGGCATAAATTCTTCTTCTGTCATCCTTAGTCATTGTCCAACTCTTTGATGCATAGCTAGTGATTGCAAAGACCATGGAGTGAATCAGGTGCACCTTAGTCTCTAGACTGACATCATTGCTTTTCAGTACTCTGGAAGGTCCCTGACAGTAGATTTATCTAAAGCAATTTGTCTTTTGATTTCTTGACTGCTGGTGTCAAGAGTATTATTTGTAGATCCAAGCAAGTTGTAACTGTTAACAACCTCAATCTCTCCTCCATCCATCATGGTGCTGCCAATCAGCCCAGTGGTGGGAATCTTTGTCTTCTTGATGTTGAGCTTCAATCCATATTGAAGACTATAGTCCTTGGCCTTCTGCAGCAAGTGCTTCAGGTCCACCTCAGTTCCAACAAGCAAGGTTGTGTGATCTGCATATCATGGGTTCTTTCCATTAGCCATCTTACTGTGAGTAGGGTGGGGCTGGAGGACTTCACTGAGTGAGTTCTGTAAGGAGGCTGGAACTTTTGTTGACAGGTCTATGCAGGCAGGAAATCTTTCTTCTACAGGTCCCTGGAGAGGATGGGGAATGAGGGGTGAGCAGAGGGCATGCGTGTGGTATGGAGCAGCACCAGGAGAAAACAGTGGGAGTGCTGCCTGATGTGTATGGGAGTGGGTGTTTTTTCTTGCCATCATTCAAGTAAGTGACAGTTGTAGTTGCAGTGATTGGTGTCTTCAGATCAATTCCTACTCAGTGGCCCCGTGTGAACTACAGGGTCTAATTTCTTAATGACATAATCATTATAAGAGCAGATAAATAGATCTTCCTTCCATGGAGCTACTAAATGGGTTTGAACCACTGACTTATAGTTAACAGCAGAGCCATCAGGGCTCCTGAGTGCCATAAACCTGTGGGAGAAAGTATAAAATAGTCACAAGAAAAGGCGCTAAATATGGGTTTTAATGAAGGAGACTGAACTGGGTGCATTCCCTCAGAGGCATTTAGATCAATGTGAGAAGGTAGGTGGTGGGTGCATGAATCTGGAAATAGATTTCGTATCACAATGGTCTGTGGAATGTGTGGAAGGAAGAATAATCGCCTGATAGTGTGTCCCTGGAGGAGGCCAGTGGACATTGAGTGGATGGAAGGCCTAGAAATTCTCTCCATTTACAGATTTTATGCTCAGCACATGCCTGTTCGTGCTAATAGCTGATAACTGTACTTGTCCCTGGACCTGGTACACTCCTTCCACTGGTGTGGGCAGGAAGGGGATCTGCAGTGTATTGTCTGACCTGCCCCTGACTCTTCTGAGTGTGTTTGAAGTGGGTGCTGTTCCAGCCTCCCATAAATCTAACTGTGCAGGACTTTGAAAAGGGAGCTTCCAATTCCCACACAGCATTCCATCATGGGCCTGCCTTTTCTTAATGGTTTTAATTTTTGTTCCAGCTGCTTGTGTTTGAAGTTGAGAAGTAGTTTACCACATCTGGGCATAGAAGTGGCAGAGTCAGTTCTCTGACACAAAGGCCCTTGGAGAGGTACACACCAGAAGGGACGGCACCAGGAGTCTGCTTCAGGGAAACTATTTTCAAGCTCTCTTTTCTCTTGAACTTTGTACCATGTGAGCACTAAGGGCTTTTCATATTTTAGTGTTCCTGTTGACTCTGCAAAGGCATTTGATTGTGTGGATCACAGCAAACTGTGGCAGGCTCTGAGAAGAATGGGAATCCCAGAACGCTTGACAGTGCTTCAGCAAAACCTATACTTGGACCAGGAGGCAGTTGTCAGAACAGAGCAAGAAAACACTGGATGGTTCTAAATCAGGAGGGGTATATGCCAGGGATGGGTCCCATCTCTATATCTTTTCAATCTATATGCAGAACAGATCATCTGGGAGGTTGGGCTCTATGAGGAGGAATATGGGAAGTCAAATTTCATACTAAATATTTTTAATAAACTGAATGCTACTTCCGGTTATGAGTGAGCCTGATATAAGCTGGAATTCACTGGGAAGCACTAAGGCAATCCTTAAATGTTTACAGGGTTGACACTAAGGCAATCCTTAAACATTTTCAGGATTCTTGCATTGTATTTGCTAACCCCTCCCTCCAGAGTCAAGCAGAAGGTTTTCAGGAGAAAGAGCTCAGCTTCATTTGCATTGAATTCTCTTGGTGATTTGCTCCCTGGCAATTTTCAATAAAGACAAAGGGAAGCTTTAGTTCGTTTCAGATGTTCGAGGACTGTTTGCCTCCTGCTTCACCTCTTGTTTTCTCCTACATTCTTGGTGTTCTGTCTCATTATTAATACTTATAAAAGTACTTTACCTTCGGTCTGCAACAGAGGAGTGTGACATCAGGATTGGAGGAAGACTCCTCAACAGTCTGTGTTATGCAGATGACACAACTCTGCTTGCTGAAACTGAGGAGGACCTGAAGCTCTTGCTGCAGAAGGTCAAGGACTTCAGCCTTTAATATGCATTGAGGCTCAAGAAAACAAAGATTCTCACCACTGGGCTGATTGGCAGCATCATGATAGACAAAGAAGAGATTGAGATTGTTAACAGCTTCAGTTTGCTTGGCTCTACAATTACACTCTTTGCACCAGCAGCCAGGAAATCAAAAGATGGATTGCTTTGAGAAAATCTGCTGACAGGGATCTCTCCAGAGTACTGAAAAGCAACAATACAAGTCTGGAGGCTGAGGTGTACCTGATCTAGGCCATGGTCTTCACAATTACTTGCTATGCTTAAGAAAGCTGGACACTGACTAAGGATGATAGAAGGAGAATTGATGCCTTTGAACTGCGGTGTTGGAGAAGCAACATGCCCTACGTATGTAAAGACAGTACTTAGTGCTTCAAAATCCTTGCTTCCAAGGAGCAGCCTGGTTTCACCCTCTCTAGGACAAGCCAGTAGGGCATGTTGCAAGGAGAGACCAGTCCTTGGACATCATGCTTTCAGTAAGTGAAATAATGGTGGTAGATATATCAGAGATGATGAGGTTGACTCAGGATAAAGCAGAGTTCAGAGCTGTTGTATGTAGGGTCACTATAAGACACAAGCAACTTGACAACCTCTAACAACAACAATAGTTAGTTATCTGCATGAATCTTCTTGTTAGTTTGATAAAATAAAAATCCCTAGAAAAATGGATTTTTTTACCTGAAATGCTTGCTGCAGAGGGTCAAGGACTGCAGCCTTCAGTATGGATTGAGGCTCAAGTCAAGAAGACAAACATTCCCACCACTGGACCAACTGGCAGCATCAGGATGTATGGTGAAGAGACTGAGATTGTTAACAACTTTAATCTGCTTAGCTCCACAGTCTTGGCACCAGTAGCCAGGAAATAAAAAAACATATTGCGATGGGAGAGTCTGCTGTTAGGGACCTCCCCAGGGTACTGAAGAGCAATGGTGTCTCCCTGGAGACTAAGGTGCGTCTGATACAGGCCATGGTCTTCGCAATCACTTGTTATGCATCAGAGAGTTGGACAATGACTAAGGAGGATAGAAAGAGAATTGATGCCTTTGAGCTGTAGTGCTGGAGAAGAGTATTGAGGGTACCATGGACTGCCAAGAAAACAAACAGATTCATTCTAGAGAGTGTTAAACCAGGCTGCTCCTTGGAGGCAAGGATTCTGAGGCTTCGTCTGACATACTTTGGTCATGTTGTAAGGAGAGACCGGTCCTTGGAGAAAGACATCATGCTTGGGAGGGTGGAGGGATGGCACAAGAGGGGAAGACCCTCTATGAGGTGGATTGATTCAGTGACTGGGGTAATCGGGATGGGTGTGTCAAAGGCAGTGTGGTTGGCACAGGACAGAGCAGGGTTTAGGGCTGTTGTACATAGGGTTGCTATGAGTCGCAAGCAACTCGACGGCACATAACAAAAACAACAACAACATCAATGAGTATGTCTTACCAAAAACAATCAGTGGGAGTTCATGCCAGACATCGGTGAGCCGATAAACCAGGAATGGTGTCAAGATGCCGCCAATGTCACACATTGAGGAACAGACGAGGACACCAAGGTTCCTAAAATGCAGAAAGTCTATGTAACTGTTTAATGAACCTTTGCATACAGTAACCTCCCAACCCATTCCCCACACAAATACATCCCCAAAAGCACTAAAATGGCTTCAAACGGAAAAGGTGTTTACACTGATTCTAATGTGTGAAAAAGGTGTCAGTTGTGAATTGGCTTAGCTTGTGGTGCCCTTGCGTGTAACAGAATGGAATGAGCCTGTGCCATCCCGAGGAGTGAGGGCATGCTGGAGGCTTAGGGGTGTACTGCTGTGTCAGTCCATCGTAAGAGGGTCTCCCTTATTTCCCTTGACTTGACCAACCTTGATGTCCTCCTCTAGTGATTGGCCTTTCCTGGGAAGCAAGCCAAAGTCTGGCCATCCTCACTTGTAGATATGACACATGATTCTGTTCGTGTTCTGATGTACTTATTAGGTGAAGTTTCTCTAAGTAATCACAGTGGAAGAGAGGAGCAATTCTTGTTGCATCCTTTCGTCACCTGGCTTCCCTGGCTGTTTCTAGGGCCTGCCTGTGCTGTTCTGGTCTAGTCTCTTTTATAACCATGCGGTGATCTCCCGCCTGGAATTCAGCGCCCCCTTTTCTCACCACATAGTTTCTGAACTTTACTGTAGCATGTGATTGTGAGACATAAACAGCCGGATTTGGCTCCTGCCTTTCAATGTTCTCATCTTCCCTCACTGATAGAAAGTAATGTATTCTAAACCAGCCCCTGCAGCACCAGACAGCCATGGAGTATATACTCCACTGCCATTCTCTGTGTTGAGTAAAGTGCTCTCACCTGATGAATGTGGGGTACAATTCTGCATTGACCAGACAAACCATTTCATAGGCCATTGTAATCCCCATTCGACCCAGGCACGCAGTGGTAATTTTCAGCCAGTGTAGGTCTGAGGAAACAAAACCACAACACTTATCCGGGCTGCACATAACTCTGTGTTCAGTGCGTACTCCACAGGGCTTGTAAGAAGAAATCACGTATTCCAGAACAGGCTAGGGAAGCACAGTTTATGTCTCTATAGACTTTAGACAATGTCAGTAGATTCTCCACCTCTATTTTAACCTTAGATATAATCATGTCTCTTAGCGGTAGAGCTCAGAGGTTAAGGAAGACATAAATATACCTGTTTACAAAGGTGGGCCCAGTTTAGCCTACAAAGATTACACAAAAGAAACGAAAAACATAGGTGTCTTTTAAACAATTGCTAACAACTGGGATATACAGCTAAGCTCCACAGTGCTGGAGGGATTCTATTTCACAGCTTTTTGTTCCTGTTCATTGACAAAGAATTGTACCAAGAAAGGAAGTGAGTAATTGCTTACGGCTAGCATTTACTTAAGTTGTGTCATTTAACTTTCAGGACAATGTGGAGAGATCAAGGGATTTGCCTAAATAAGATCTGAATATACTGGAATGAGACTGTGACTCTAACTCTAGTTAAAAGCCCAGCTCTCTGCCTTGGGCCAGCACCAGAACGGGATGCTTGGACTTTTTACTGTACACCAGGAAACAGCTGGATGCAATTATTCTAAAAGGCAGAGTGGCCTTGCGGGCTTAGCCAGGTAGGCTTCTGAGATTTTCCTCTTTTCTTTCCAACTTTGGACAATAAATTGCATGTTCATCCCACCAAGAGGTCCTAACACTCCTTCACAGGGCCTCGGAGGACCGCAGCTTTCCTTGACACTTACCATCGGGGATGAAAACTGAGGCCAGGCAGGCTGCCCCTGCCACTATGTTTGACCCGGCCCAAGGATATCGGCGGCCGATACGATCAATGGAGAGGATGATGATGAAGGCGGCTGGGAACTCAACCAGGGCAGAGTAGAAGAAGTCCAGGTAGATATTGCTCCCTGCGAGGCCCATGTGCATGATGAGGCCCTGGTAGAGAACAGAGCTCGTGAACCTGAGCAAAGAGGAGAACCTGGGTCAAGCTAAGCATGGAAAGTAGTCAAAGGGAGAAGCTTCTGGAAAAGTAGAAAGTGCTGGCAGGCCAAGTTTCTTTTTGTAATCTTTTAAAATTCCCTCTGTTTCATTGCTCTTACACATTGGATTTACTGTGGTGACTGGTTGTGACCTATGAACTAGCAAAGGGAAGAATGAGACAGTACTCTGTGGCCCAAATGAAAGTCAAGGGGAAATACTGCTATGGCTAGAGGAACTCATTTAGTAAAACGATACTGAGTTGTCTGGTTGCTAATTGTTTCTCTCTGTGGTCGTCTAACGGAGTTGGAATTAAGAAGAGTGAGTACTTAGTTCACATTTTAGGGAACCAGAAGCCCATATGGCACAGCCACTCTTCTTCATGGTTTATTTTGCGACGTTTTGGTGTTGTATCTAATTTTGTTGACTGAAAATGTTTATTGTCTGTAATGGAAAATAGGAGGTGAATGCGTAAGAGCTGTGGTTATTAACGAAAAAAAAAAAGGTTAATGGAGCCAAGTGTCATCATTGTCTTATTACGTGCAGCCTTTTACGGTTTACTGGGTTATACTGATGAGCTTGGGTTCAGTCAGTGGTTGTGAATCTTCATTGACTGGTGAGGAATGCAATGCACACAGAAGCGAGTGTGTCTCCTGTAAGAGGCACAGCCCATGGCCAGCGGATCCCAGAACTGAGAGAAGTGGCACAGCATAGCGACAATCAAGTTACCGGATGGTGACAGCATCGGATTGCTCTCGTTCATAAATGGAGGTGGTTTAGTGTTTTTAAATTCAAGTCCGTGCCTTTGTTTCTTGGCCAGTTTTGTACAATAAGATATTTGCACTTGTTACCAATTAATTAAGAGCCAGTAGTTCTCAATTCTCACTAACTCTATTTTCCAACATTTGTCCCTGTGTCTTCCTCCAGATCAATGACATCAGCATTTCTGGAGTTCTGGCTCCAGCCTGGGTAGGGTTTCATCTCTCCAGGTGGGTCTGGTCAAAGTTGAGAATGTACTGATCTGGGCTTAGGGATTACGAACGGATTTCAACATTTGCCTAGGAAATTGATATTGGGGAAACTTGAAGTAAATGAGCCACCCGTTGCTGTCTATCCCAGTGCTAATCCTGGACGTCCAGCTGTATTCTGGACGTGTGGTTGGTCTCGCTCCTCAGTGTGGATGCCTATGATAAAAACAGTGCATAAGGAGAGTGAAAAGCGTTCCTTACCAGTTGTACATCAAGATCAAAGTGTGTTTCCTTATCTGAGGGGTTCTGACCAAGTCAAGAAATGAAGGATTCAGTTTCGCACCAACTTCCTCGTCAGGTCTGAGGTTCTAAGAATAGAAACGTTAACAGGTTTGCATGGTCAGTGGCGGTGTCCCTGGGTCGCACATACGAGTAACAAGCACACTCTACGTTTATGAACAGTTTACACTACACAAGGTGATTCACATACCTTATTTATCCTTCATAGGAATCCTGTCCCTTACTCACTCATTGCTGTCAAGACAGAACTGACTCAGAGCTGACCCTTGAGCAGGTTTTTGGAGGTTGTAAATGGGAGGAGATTGCCCATCGTTCTCCCTGGGAGCCGCTAGTGGATTTGAACTGCCAGAGAAGTGCTACCTTTACGTTCGCAGAGCAACTTCTTACTGATTACACCACCAGAGCTCCCGTAGATACCACACTTCCCCAAAGATCTAGAGTTAGGTATTCATTTTCTTTACCAGAAAAATCTAGGATACAGAAAAGATCTGTAATTATGGCATATAAATAATGATACTATTTGTTTTTATTTTTTTTAATTTTTATTTTCTTTTCTTATTTTTGTGTGAGTGTACCGTCAAATCACATCTGACTGGTACAGGAGGAGATTGTCCCTCCTTCCCCGGCAAAGCATCTGGTGGATTTGAACCGTGCGCCTCTGGGACTGTAGTTGCAGCTCCTTGCCACTAGGCCACCAGAGCTCCCCAAACGATGCTATTTGTAAGGCACAGTGAAGTGAGCTTGAGATCCGGCCAGCTGCTCGTGGGCTGGGGGAATCAGTGCTTCCACACACCTGGATCCATCCTGTGACCCGGCAGGTAGGAAGTCCTAATGCTTAGCCTAGCACCATCCACATACAGGTTTTTGAATACAGATCTTGGGTCCCACTCAGGGTCCACTGAGTTAGAATTGACATTTTTGCCAGATTTCCAGTGAGTCTGTACATCAATTTAGCAGCCTGAAAAGTGTCTCCCAAAGTTCATGTCCTCCAGGGAACCTCTTAATGTGTCCTTAATTGGAAATATGGTTTCTGCCTGTCATTGGTTAAAGCTCTTGAGATGAAGTACTTTTGAATTTAGGGTGGGTCCCCAACTCAAAGAGGACACAGAGAAACATACAGGGAAGATGACAATGAGAAGGTAGAGGCTGAGACTGGAATGTTGGGGTTATAAGTCAAAGGAACGCAAGGAACGGGCTGGAAAGCCTTGGTGTGTGTGTGTGTGTGTGTGTGTGCGTGCGTGTGTGTGTGTGTGTGTGTGTGTGTGTGTGTGTGTGTTTTAAAAACCTGGTGGATCACAGCAAAATATTACCCCATCTAGGACCATACAGAGAGCACCAGTGCCGGAGCCTGTAGGATACTGATCTGTTAACCCAAAGACTTCACTTCTCTGATGGTTCAAATCCATCAGCAACTCGTTGAGGGAAAGATGGGCAGCTTCCCCCTGTGCCATTTACACAGCCTTGGAAACACAGTGAAGGGTCAGCTGTGAGTCACCTCTGACTCTACAACTCTGAATAACAGGATCACACAAAGTTTTGTTACATTTTGGGTTTGCTGTGAGTTGAAACCGATTTGATGGCAACTGACATGATTACCACCAATAAACTGAGAAGCTTAAGTCAGAAGCGAGTGAGATCTGCTAACGACAAAAGGTTGTTGTTGTTACATACTGTCAAGTTGGAATAGATTCATAGCTGATCGTCCAGTGGCTTTTCAGAGGCAGTAAATCACATGGGAGGAGATTGCCCATCTTTCTCCCCACATAGTGAATGGTGGATTCAATCCAGGTGCCTTTGGGTTGGCAGCACAATTCCTTACCACTCAGCCACCAGAGCTCCCCAGTGGCAAAATACTACAGACAAAAGGACATTCCAAACTCCTGTTGAAGAAGACAGTCCATCGTTTAAAAGGTTTTGGGAACATGTTTCAAATTCTAAAAAAATACTTGCTCTTTGAAAAACTAAGTCTTAGCTCATCTTGGAACCTACTGTCTGTGGAACATTTCCTGAAGGTGCAGGAGAAACGTGCAAACCACATGCTGGAGCACTGACAGGAGGAGGAGAGCAGTTAAGTTTTGAGTTGCATGAGGTAGAAAGTCCTCCTGTGACCTTCAAATGACTTTGGGTGCCTTTTAATTTTGTATTTCCTATTTGTTTAAAATAGCCTGCCAGCCAGGACCACGGCCACTGCCACTGAGGCTCTTCTGACTCCCAGTGAGCTGCTGTTGGGTTTCGGAGGGCTTACGGTTTTGTGGGAGGAGCTTGCCCATCTTTCTCCCTCACAACAGCTGGTAGCTTTGCACTTTTGACCTTTCAGTTAGCAGCTTGATACTTCATGCACTGTGCCACCCCAAATCTCTGTTAATGAAATTCTTCGCTGTGCTCTACTGCAGGTAGGTGAATTTGCCAGGTGAGGTGCCATTCTGGCAGGTACCACGGCTGCTTCCTCCCACCAAATGACTGGCTTACCTGAAATGAAGCAGGCAGGGGTTTTCCATTTTTCTTTGCTATGTGCTTGATGATCTTCATGGCCTTGGCATTTTTGTTCTGGGCAATTAGCCATCTTGGAGACTCGGGGACACACCTATGGGACAAGATACATGTCAGAAGTGCTGCTGAGTGGAGCAGAAATCTTACTGAGTACATCTTTCCTGCCCCAGCAAGGGGCGTGATCAGATTCCTGTGGGCGGTCTCACATGGGCTGGTTTAGCAGGGAGCTCTAGTGGTCTAGTGCTGAGAAACTTTGCTACAATCCTAAAAGCAGAGTTCAAATCCACTATCTGCTCTGCAGGAGAAGGATAGACAATCTCCTCCCATGTGATTCACTGCCTCTGAAAACCTGCTGGAGGGATGGCTGTGGATTGATTCAGTCTCCATGAAACACAATGACAACAACAACAGAACAAAGGCAAAGATTGTATGGGGACCTGTGGTCCTTTCTTACTTTGGATGCTGATGGTAACCCACCCAGTCCAGGAAGCCAAAGAGTTGGGTAAACTCCAACAGCATGTCCTTGGATACTCTTCCTGAGCCATGAAATGGGACTTTATCAAGGAGTGAGCCCTGATAGAAGAACGGAGAATGAGGTGGTTGTTGTTAGATGCCATTGAGTTCACTGTGACTCAAAGCAACCCTATGAACAATGGATAGAAACCTAGCTCTATCTTGCAGTCATTTCAGGGTGGCACCAGAGAGAGTCTTTATACTGAAAGCTGACTTCAAAGGATGAGAGGAGAGTTAGAGATTGGAAAGTGGGAGAATCTTCAAGTCAGCTAGCATCGTTTGGACTTGATTCAGCAGGACCAAGCCATCACAAGTCCGTGAGAAGGAATGCGGCAACTGGAGGCTGAGACTTGGGAAGGTTTCTTGGCAGTAGGTCAGGATGGGTCAGAGGAAGAGGTTAAATACAAACCGACAGTTAAAATACAGCTAGGCATATCCCAGTGGGACCACTACCTAGAGAGAAAGGTGGTTCTGAGAGGTCGAACTCAGAAGCATGGGAGTATGTGTCTTGGGGGAGTGTACTGGGGACAGGAGTCAGGTAGAATTGAGCCTCTTGAAGGATTGAGTGTGGTGTGCTCAGAGCCATCAAGTCACAGCTCAGAGTGGAGGTCCTGAGAAATGCTTTGTATGAGTTCTCTAGATCATTCCTGTACCCAGTGTTCAACTCACAGCAGAGACCATGGATAACACTGCAAACAAGTTTTCTAGATCATTCCAGGGGCCCAGTTCAGCTCAGGCAACAACTCTTCTAGACACATGGATTTAGCTAAACTGACTACCTCCTGATCCAGGAGGTAAAGGACTCAGATACCAAGTCAGAACAGGTGCTATTGTTTCAAGGTGCCACTGAGTCTACTAAAACCATTAGTGATGCTATGAACAACTGATTGAACCTGGACCTATCCTGAAGCCATCCCCAGGCTTTCCACCATGCTCACACCCACTGTGGCAGTCATCGTGTTAATCCAGCTCAATAAGGGTCCGTTCTTCCATGGTCTTCTACCTTCCTTGTGTCAGAGGAGGTCGTTGTTGTTAGGTGCCATCGAGTGGAGTATGAACCATTGTGACCCTATGAACAACAGAACTGAACCCTGTCCTATCCTGTGCCATCCTCACACTTCTGACACATTAAAGCTCATTGCACAGTCACTGTGTCAGTCCACCTGGTTGAAGGTCTTCCTCTCCTTTGCCAACCCTCTACAGTTCTGAGGATCATATCCCTCCACAAGGACTAGCCCCTCCTAGTAACATGCCAAAGTATGTGAGGCAAAGCCTTATCATCTTTGCCTTCAAAGAGCACTCTGCCTGCACCCTCTCCAAGACATGGGATATTCAGTACTCTTCTCAAACACCACAGCTCAAAGACATCAATTCTTATTCATTGTCAAGCTCTCAGATTCATAGCAAGTGATCTGAAAGACCACAACCTGAATCACATGCACCTTAGTCTTCAAATTGACATAATTACTCCTCAATAATTTGGAGAGGGCCCTAACTGCAGACTTCCCCAGTGTAATGTCTCCTGATTTCCTGACTGCTGGTACCAAGGGTGTTAATTGCACATACAAGTGAAATGAAGTTGTTGACAGTTTCAATTATTTCTCCATCCATCATGATGTTGCCTATCAGTCCAGGGGTAAGAATCTTTGTTTTCTTGACATTGAGATATGATCCATGTTGAGGGCTCTATTTAATCTTCTGCAAAAATTGCTTCAAGTCCTCACTTTCAGCAAACAAGGGTGTGTCATCTGCATAACACAGGTTACTGATGACCCCTCCGATCTTGATGCCACATTTCCTTTCATAGGATCCAGAGTCTCGAATAATTTGATTAGTGTGCAGATGGAAAAGATGTGGAGAGAGAATACAACCTTGATGCACACCCTTCTTAATTTTAAACCATATAGTGTTCCCTTGCTCTGTGTGTACAACAGCCTCCTGGACTATGCATAGGTTCCTCATGAACACAATTAAGAGCTCTGGGATTCCTATTCTTCTCAATGTTAGCCATAGTTTTCTATAATCCACAGTCAAATGCCTTTGCATGGTCAATAAAACATAAATAGGCACACTTCTGGTATTCTTTACTTTCAGCCAGGATCCTTTTGGCATCAGGAATAATATACCTGGTGCCACAGCCTCTTCTAAATCCTGCTTGAACTTCTTGCAGTTCCCTATCTATGTACTATTCTAGCGGCTTTTTAATGATTTTTAGCAGAATTTTGCTGGCATGAGATATTAATGATATTGTTTGGTAGTTTCCACATTCTATTGGATCACTTTTCTTTGGAATGGGAACAAATATAGACCACTTTCAGTCTGTTGGTTAGATAACTCTCCTTCAAATTTCCTGGCATAGACTTTGGGCATGTTGCAAAGCAGGACTATTTCTTGGAGAAGGACATGATGCTGGGAAGGATTGAATGAGAGGAATACCCTCAACCAGATGGATTGACACAATGACTGCCACAATAGGCTCGTGGTTTTCTTTCAGACGGTCACTGTTGTACTCAACTTGACAACATCTAACAACAACAACAACATACACTTATATCCTACCTGACTATAGAAAGCATCTAAAGAATAAATGGGAAGCACTGAACATTAAGGACCAAAGAAAGTGTGAGATCATATCAAGGATAATATACATGAAGGAAAGTAAGTGCAAAGAGGTGGTTACAAAGTAAAGAACACAAGACTAAAATGGATGTTAGAAGAGATTCTAAATTTGCTCTAGAACGTAGGGAAGCAGAAGAAAAAGGAAGAAATCATGATATAAGAGAGCTAAACAGAAGATTTCAAAGGGCAATTTGAGAAGTTAAGGCAAAACATGATAATTAAATGTGTAAAGATCTGGATTTGAAAGCAAAAAGGGAAAAACATGTGTTACACTTCTCAAACTGAAAGAACTGAGATTGAAGTCTCAAATTGCAGCACTGAGGGATTCAATGGAGAAAATGTTGAATGACCAGGAAGCATTGAAAGAAGATTAAAGAAATACCCAGAGTCACAGTATATAGAATAATAAACAAACAAACAAATAATAAATGGGTAGACGTGTTCTTTCTAGAAGTGTGATCAAGAACCAATGGTACTGAAGGAAGAAGTCTAGGCCACTGTGAAGATATCGATAAACTGTTAGGCTCCAGGAGTTGATAGAATACGAGTTGAAATGTTTCAACCAGTAGTGTAGCTTTGAATATGCTCACTCATCTATGCCAGGAAATTTGGAAGACAGCTACCTAACTAGTTGACTGTAAGAGATCCGTATTTGTGCCCATCTCTCCCCCAAGATGTCGCAACAGAATGTGGAAATGATCTAACAATGTCATGTGCAAGTTAAATCTCACTAAAGGGAACTAAAAAATTACTGGAGGAAATCAACAAGGAATTGCTAGAAATTCAAGCTGGATTCTGAAGAGCCTGTGAAAAGAGGAATCGTTGCTGATGTCAGATGGATCTTGGCTGAAAGCAGAGAGTACCAAAAACCCGTTTACTTGAGTTGTATTGTCTATGTAAAGGCATTTGATTGTGTGGATAATAATTAAGTATGGATAACATTGAGAAGAATATGAGTCACAGAACATTTAACTGAGCTCATGTGAGTCCTGTACATAGACTAAGAAATAGTTGTTCAAATAGAGCAAGGAGCAACTGTTGTTATGTTGTTATGTGCTGTCGACTTGCTTGCATAGTGACCCTATGTACAACAGCCCTAAACCCTGCTGTATCCTGTGCCAATCGCACTGTCTCTGACATTCCCATCCCTATTACCCCAGTCACTGAATCAATCCACCTCATAGAGGGCCTTCCCCTCCTGTGCTGTCCCTCCACCCTCCCAAGCATGATGTCCCTCTCCAAAGACTGGTCCCTCCTTGCAACATGTCCAAAGTATGTCAGACGAAGCCTCAGAATCCTTGCCTCCAAGGAGCAGCCTGGTTTAACCCTCTCCAGGATGAATCTGTTCATTTTCTTAGCAGTCCATGGTACATGGTTTAAAATCAGGAAAGAGGTGTGTTGTGTTGTATCCTTTCATTACACCTATTGGATCTGCATGCAGAGAAAATAAGTTGGAATGTACGAAGAAGAGTGTGGCATTGGAATTGAAAGACTTGTTGACAGCCTTTGATGTGCAGATGACACAACTTTGCTTGTTGAAAGTGAAAAGGACTTGAAGTATTTACTGAAGAAGATTAAAGACTGCAGCCTTCAATATGGTTCTATTGTAACATCAAGAATAAAGAAATCCTCAAAACTAGATAAGATAAGAAGGCCTCCTGATTGAAGACTGTATCCTGAATTGTTTATGTTACTTCTGTGTTGACCTTGGTCCTGATTTGTAACCCAGTTCATAATGGCAAATATGGCCCAAGAGTTCTGTGAGATGTTACAGAAAACCAAAAGATAGGAGTCTGAGTTTTGAGGGCTAGAGTAGTAATTGGTACCAGCGATGATGAGTGGGTGCAGCAGTTTGCAGAAGCTTAATATTTAAGACATCTTTAAACTCTACTTCATAGGAACCAGCTTTGTGTTTATGTTTATGAAAGAGGTTATTCATTTAACTCTCCTTTGCACAGTTCCAATAACCTCATATTAGAGGTTTGTAATAATGATTGCTATCTTCCACGTGTTTCCCTTGGTCAGCAAAGAAAAAATATTTCCCTAGCTGTGGTTATGCTGATGAATTGGTCTTGTCTGTTGGGAGCACTACATTGGCCTTATCTGGGATAAAGTTTGCAGTGATTGATTGGGGATGCCTGCCTTGACAACGGGTATAGGGAGGTGGTGACATGTGGACCATGCTCTGCTTTCTCTACTCTGAAATTCCTCGAAGGAGGGGTAAAATAGCCACGGGACTATCATCCATATCTTCAAGGTATTTGCAATCTGAACTGTATCACAGCTGCTAGAAGCTAATTTGAATACAAAACCAATAAAATAAAAAGGAAAGATCCAGGCCATAAGAAATTTAAGCCCAATGTGAAAAAACATTTTGGTTTCCAGAGAGGGAAACTGAGTGAAGGAAATCTTAGAACCTGGATGGCTGACATACACTAGGGAAGATGGTCTTTGTAGCCAATTAGAACATTCCCGAGTCTCCTTTTTGTTCAAGGGAACTTACCAGTAATAGAGCAAGAAGCAGAAGTTGGGCAGAGAAACTGTGAACTGCAGCCACCTCCACTGAGGAAGTGCATACGCCACCCCAGTGAGCAGCAGGAGTCCAATAGTGAAGGTAACTTGGTATAAAATGCCCACTGTTCTCCGGTAGCTCAGCCCGACAAATTCTGTAACTGCAGAGGCAAGTCAAGGGTAAAAGCGAGTCATTAAGACAGTCTGCTGGCTGGTCAGGGATGGCAAAACCAGGACACTGACCTTAAGGAGAGACTCTAAACTACAGAACTTTTAATATAGCTCTTTGGACATTTTTAACTATTCTTAGTTGAGTCCTATTTGAATTCTGTTTTAGTTATTGCTCTTGCATTAACTTTCTATTGTATTATTTCATGTGAAAGCTTACAGACCTCCTTTTAAGTAGGAGAAAAGGCTTGCCAAGACAGCAAAAATGTCTGAATTATAGGATAATTTAAGGGCAAATTCAGTTGCATTTCAAAGAAACACAAAGACTTTTGATCTTGAAGAATAAGGCAGTGGTAATCCGAAACCTGAATAAATGAATCAAAACTTGAATTCAGATTATAGATGATGTCTATGAAAACAAACCCCTGAATATAACTTGTCATCTTACATTGGTTTAAACATTTTCCTTGCAATTCTGTTAATTCACTTAAATGGTCCGGAAACCTAGAAACCTAGCCATGTGCTTGAGCCAGCTAGTTGTGGTTTGTAACAAATGATTTTTAAATTTTCAGGAATTTTACAAGCTGGTTGTTAAATCCATTGATGTCTTGAAAGCAAGTGTGGTGGGAGTATTTACACCAGGGAAATTGGAAGACACATAAATCAAGGCTTTTCTATTTTCCAAGAGCAATTTAGCAGCACTTCACTGCACAGGGTATAATAACAAGCTTTATCCCATCCCATGACTATACCAAGACAGACAAATGAGGGCCAGGGTACATGGAATTAGGGGATAGTCATTTTGATAACAAAAACATACTCAGATAAAAAGTTCATATATTCTAGAAACCACAGAATTTTTGGCTTACATGTTTGGCAAACTTGCTGAAGACTTCAACTGTTTATAAGCCAAATAGAAATATACCCTATAAATATGTCTATAAATGACTGTGAATTATCCTAAAGTATTTTCAAATGAAATGAAACAAAATTATCTAAGTGTTCAATAAATAGAAATATCTTCAGAGTGATTTGGGTCATGGCTGGGGTTCAAGGGAGGTGAGGAGAGTGGGGCAAGATGACCATCAAAGAGACTCGAGAGGGATTAGAAAAGAAATTAATGAAAGGAAGCAAAATTTTCACATTCAAATTCTATGCATCCTGTGTTCTATACCACCCACCCATGCTGATGACTCAATTCTGACCCATAGAAACCCTACAGGACAGAATAGAAATGCCTTCTAAGTTTCCTACGGCTGCCCATCATTCTCCTATACAGTGGCTGGTGGATTCAAATTGCAGACGAGAATTTTAGCCACCACACCACCAAGCCTCCTTTATACACTCTCTCAAACTCAAACTCTTTGATGTCAAGTTGGAGTTCACTCATCATTGAATTTCCGGTGGGTTTTTGCTCAGGAGGACATTACCCATCTTTCTCCCAAGGAGCAGCTGATATATTCAGTCTACTTGGGCATCACCACCTTTGGGTTAGTAGAGCAGTCCCTACAGTTTGCACCACAAGAGCTCACTTTATGTGTTCACAAAACCATTAATTTCTTCACTGAACCAATTCTTACTGGCTACCTACCATAGCAGGCAAGATTCAGTGATGAGAGATATGAGAGATTTACAGCTACTGGCTACGTTAGGGGGAAAGGTGGACAATCTCCTCCCATCTTTTTCTGAAAAACCACTGGAGTAAGTCAGGTATAAGTAGTTCTGACTCTACAGCACATAACAGTAACAACAACTATTACATGGATTGTATTAAGATACATCTTCATTTCACATAAATCCCCAATTTAACTTGGCCAGGTAAAATTGTATACACATATATTCTGATTCTTTCCTGTGTAAGAGAGCTTTATGTCTGTTTTTCTATTGTGTCTTTCCTGTTTTATAAGTGCTATTTGGATGTAGTTGAGGGGAATGCAATAAGAAGGCTGTGACAGTTAATTATATGTATCAATCTGGCCATGGTCCTCAAAAGAGCTCTTCTATATATTGTATAGTCTAACTTCTATGATGTTAATGAAGCGGGATTAGAAGCAGATATGTGAAGAGGGAATTAACAGTCTCCTCAGGTGTGCGATCTGCATAGTATGTGTGTTTGGACTCTGGTGTGGACATCTGGATACCTGTATGTGATCTCCAGAGGTGAAACAGTAGCTGGCTGTACTTGCCGATAACCAAGTCAGCCATCTGTGACTCTGTTTGTCACTGTTGACATTTGGGCATGTTGGCCATAAGCTAGCCACCTCCAAAGCCATCATTTGTGGCCTTGTTTCCCAATACTTTGGCCGTGTCAGCCTTTGAAGCTGGCAGCCTCCAAAGCCAGCAGCCTGAGACCTTGCCTGTCTGCTGATAACTTGGACTCAGCATCTCTATATGCCTTTCTCTTGAGGTCTTTCCTACAAACCTGGGACTTGACAGCCTTTCTCTTTCTTTCTCCTCTCTTTTACTCTCTGCCTTTCTCTTTGTTTCGGTGGTTTTGCTGCTTTAGAGAACCCAGCCTAAAAAGCCCAATTCCTAACAATGCACTAATGACTGTGAAGATGCAGCAGGGTCGAGTAATGCTTCATTCTGTTGCAAATGAGTGCCAATGAGTTGGAGATATCTTCAAAATAACAGCAACAAATGTTGTTGTCAGGTGCCACTGAGTTAGCTGTGACTCATAGCAGCTATACACAACAGAGTAGAATCCTGCACTATCTTCACCTTTTCTGTACATACGCCTGTTGTACCCTTCTGAGCTCATTGTGTCAGTCCCCCAGTGAAGGTCTTGTTTTTGTTGTTATTAACACTTTACCCTTCCGAGAATGAAGTCATTATACCACCTGATAAGTATGTGAGACAGAGGGTCACCATACTTGCGCTAGCACATATTCCAGCTGCACAACCCACAGTGACGATGGCAATTTATCAGCATGGCTCTAAATGATACTAAGCTGTTAGGATTCTGATATTTCAGGTCCAACAAATGCCTTCCTGAGCAGATTGACTACAGTCCTGGTATTTTTGGTTGCCTTGCATATATGTTGAGGATAATTGTAGCCTACTAGACTAGAAGCTCTTTATAAATCTATCCTAGCTCTCATCACTGAATCTTCTTGATGAATAGGCCTGCTTGAGTAGATTTTCTCTCTGTGTATCTATACTCCAGGGTGCAGAAAAAGAAGTTCTAAGAGAGTTATATAAGAATCTGGGTAGCATGGTGTTTACCCTTCTTTGCCTTCATTGTTTTAATTTCTTAATAGGAGGGATTCAGAATAGGTTGATGAAAAATAGTCTAGAAATTATTTTGATACAGAAAAAGCCCTTGCCAGCCTCTTGAAGCAGTCCTTTGTTTGGCTGCATTTTGGCAGGTGAGGCCCTGTGTGCCCACAGCTGTGAACACAAGCACACTCACTCAGGATGTAGCTGACGAGCCAGCCTGCCTTGCTGACTAGCCCTTGGATCAGGCGGAAGGTGAGCATCCAGGTGTAGGTGGGCGAGATGGCCATGAGAACTCCAGCTGTGGCGTTGATGAGGATTGTAATTAAGAGGCAGAGCTTCCGGCCAAACCTGCAGGTAGAAAGCCACCAGAAATACACGGTAGAATTGGATTCATGAAGGTTGTGGAAAATTCATGGAAATCGTTGTTGGTAGGTATCATCGAGTTAGATCTGCCTCTTAGATACCCTGCGAACAACAGAACAAAACCCCAGCTGGTCCTGCGCCATCCCCATGACAGTTGCCATGCTTGAGACGATGGTTACAACCGCTGTGTCAATCTGTATGGTGGAGGCCTTCCTCTTTTCCACCAATCCTCTATGTTACCACACATCTTGTCCCTTTCCAGGGACTGGACTAGCCTCATAACATGTCCAAAGTATGTAAGGTGAAGTCTCCATATCCTACCATCTAAGGAACTTCTGGCCACGTCTCAAGGAAAGCAAAAGCTAATTCTGAATGACGAAACCAGAGAAAGTGGATGGAAACTCCCAAAGAGAACCCAAAAGGGCACTCGGTGCAGGCCTTTTCATCAGTGCTTTCCACATAAAGTGTAAGCGCAATGAGCCACATTTACCCCGGGGCCAAAGCAATGTCTCAGTCCCACACTGGGGAGGAGATTCAGGAAGCAGGATGATGCTTACAGGCCACCCACTGCTGAATGCCCTCAGGACCTGTCTGGACCTTGAATCATCTCAGGAGTTGGGTCCTTGACAATGGCATTAACCAACTACCATCCAAGAGAGTTTTTGCATTAGAACAAATATAATGTACACTTCCCCATACTTTGTCAACATTGCTTCTAGACATGTGTTACGTGTGTGTTACCATGGAAACCCTTGGGTGTCACATCATCATCATCACTTCCCGTTTTGCCATTCTCAGGGTGTTTAGGGTACCGTGATGGTGTAATATATGCTGGATTGCTGACATAAAGATTGGCGGGTCAGCTCCACCATTCAGCTACCATAAGTCAGAGAAAGAAGCTCCGTCTCCCCCTGTAAAATTCTGCAACCTCAGAAATTTGATGGAGCATCACTGTGGGGCTGGATAATTTGAAGGCAGTAGGTTTGACACCCCTCCTCCCCCATAGTTTGGTGTTTTATGGAGTAGGATAGCAGGAAAGTGGTGTAGATAGAATTGTACCCACCACAAGATATGTTGAAATCTCAACTCGTGTCCCTGTGAATGTGGCCTTGTTGTAAATTTTCTCTTGGAAGCTACTCACAATTAAGTTAATGAAGGGGTATGGATTAGAATGGGTCCTAATCCCATCTGAGCAGCGTTTTATGATAGGGATAAATATGAAATCAAAACAATAAGGAAAACAGAAGTATTCAGATGGGAAAGAAGTAAAATCATCTCTGAGAGGACAAGATCCTTACATATAGAAAATCCCAAATTATCTGCAAGAAAGCTTCCAGAACCAGCAGAGAAACTTAGGAAAGTTGCAAAATACAAGGTCAGTAAACAAAAGTCTGTTGGATTTCTAGAGCAATGGGAAAGCAGAAAGAGAAATTAGGAATGTTATCCTACTTACAATAGCATCTAAAAGAATAAAATATCTAGGAATATATTTAATCAGGAATGTGAAAGACATCATTAAAATTATAAAACATTGCTGAAAAGATTAAAGAAGACTTAATGAAAGGAAAGCTATTCCTTGTTCATGAGTTAGAAGACTTACTATTGTTATGAAATCAATATAATTCAAAAGGGTCTATAGATTCAACATAATCTCAATAAAATTCTCAGTTGCCCCAATTCTGTATTGAATGGAAGGAGGCCTTGAGTACCTAGCGCAAAGGTGATAGAGAAAGCCAAGTAGGAAGACTCACTGATTTTAAAACTCGCAGTTTCAGTAACCCAAACAGCCTTGCTTGCACTGATGTAGTAACAGACCTACGGACGCAAGATAGAGAATTGAAGGCCCAGAAACAAACCCACATGCTTATGTGGTCAACTGATTTTTGGAGAGAGTGCTAAGTACATTTGGTGGGGAAAGAAGAGTCTCTTCAATAAACAGTGCCAGGAAAAACTGGATTCGGACATGGACAAGAAAAACAACAGGATTCAGGCCTCACAGCATGCACAGTATTAAGGACCTAAATGGTTAAACAAAACCCATAAAATTCTCAAGAAAATGCAAGGGCAATGTTGTTTGGTCTAGCTTTAACAATAGTTTATCTAATAAATGAAAGGACAAACAGTAGAAGACAAAATGAATCAATGAGACCTCATAAAAATGAAAAACTTTTGTTCCTCAAAAGACTTTACAAAAAAAGGGAAAAGACAAACTACCAACTACAGAATAGGTTTGGAAACAATATCTCTGATAAGAACCCAACAACTAAAATATCCATAAAACTTTGACAACAACAAAAAGATCAACAACCCACTCATAAAATAGGTAAAATCTTTGAACAGACATTTCATTAAAGTGGGCATTCAAATGACACCAAGCACATGAAAAATCAAATGTGAAGCAGAAACACAAATGAAAACTATAATGAGATTCCATTTATCCCTACCAGGATGCCTAAGATCCATTAGACAAAACAAATAACCTGGAAAAATGAATGCTGGTGAGGACGTGGAGAAATTAAGCCCTTTATATACATTGTTGGTTAAAAAGGAAAAATAATACAGCTATTGTGCAAACCAATATGGTGATCCCTCAGAAACAAGCAATAGGTCTACCACATGACCCAGCAATTCCACTCCTAGGTGTACCCTAAAGACTTGAAGGCAGAGACTTGAACAGATACTTATTTGCATTCAATAGTCATTAAATTGCTATCACAATAGCCAAAAGATGGAAATAACATAAATGTCCACCCATGCATGAAGACAAACAAAATGAATACTGCTTAGCTGGTGAGAACTTAAAGATATTACTCTGAGTGAAACAAGCCAATTACAAAAGGACAGATATATACATACAAGAAGATGTAAATGTATGGAGAACAGTTTCTTAGTGGTAACTGGGGAGGACTGCCATGAGTTGGCATCAACCCCACAGCAGTGGGTTTAGGCTTGGTTTGGGAAGCATTGCTTATACAGCCCTGGTGGCATGGTGCTTAAACTTCTGGCTTCTGACCACAAGGTCAGCAGTTTGAATCTACCAGCTGTTCCATGGGAGAAAGATCTGACAGTGGGCTTCCATAAAGGTTTACAACATTGGAAACCACAAGGGAGAGGTTCCCCCTGTCCTTTAGGGCCAAAATGAATCGGAATTAACAGAAGTGTATGCATATACTGACCATTTCAAGTAATAAGTGTTGTTATGTAACATTGAGGTGGAACTGACCCACAGCTGACCTTAGTTCTAACTTGATGTTGCTGAAAACCTCCAACAAGTTTTCTGAGGCAGTAAATTACATGGGAGGAGATTGACCATCTTTCTCCCACATAGCAGCTAATGGATTTGAACTGTGTACCTTTGAATTGGCAATGCAATTCTTTACCACGAAGCCACCAGAATTCCCTAAATAATAACTAATCTATTTGAAAGCAAGCCATTAAAATGTTCATTATTATTTTGAAATGTAATATTTTAAATTTTGAATATAAAGGTCAGACAATCTTATCTGTAATTAATACAAAAGATCAAATTTAAAAAATCTTATTTGGCCATATTATTTCTTAATCCTCAGTCAATAATTCACCATCATAAGTTTATAACTTCATCCCTATTCCAGCCTTCTAAAGTCAGGTTTAAAATAATTTCCAGCATTTCTTCTTGTATTCTCCTATCTAAACTTCTAGTCTCAAAGAGTTTATAAGCTAATACCATATGTACCTGCACTTAAGTGGCAATTCCTCAACTTCGTAGTTGTTTCAAGCATTCAATCAATATTCCTATGATGTGCAGAGTCCCTTCATAATAACCTCCTCTCACCATCATTTGAACCTAAGCAAGTCAAAACCATTAGAAAAATCAAATCCATGCAGCAGAAAAGTCTCTGGCCATGTGGTCCAAGTGATGGTGCAGGGCTATAAAAGCAATAAGGTGTGACTAGTAGAAATGTTGGCTACAATATTGAACTCAAAACTAGCAATGATTGCAAAGGTGGTGTTCTAGAATATGCCAGGTCACTGTGAGAGGAGATCAACTCAACCAGCACCTAACGACAAAGGACAGATGCTGCTGACCTGGGATAGTGGTTTAGAAACTTCTTTCCTCCAGAAAAGCCACTTAAATATGTTAATAAAATGCAAACAGATCAAACAGGAGAGGAAGAGTAGATGCCAAGACTGTGAGCTGCTTAAATCCTTCAACTCCTTAGTACTTAAAATGTCAGCTTTGGGGTCAGGGAAGAGGCATCATTAACTTCTATGAATTCTGGAAACAGAGGACTCAAGTCCACTCAGGAGTGGAGCACCCAATAAACAAAGCAAACATACTTTTGCTTGTTTTTCTTTATGAACCTGGAGCAAACAGTTGCACATGATATTTGTAGAACTTAAACTATGCTTGGCTTGCTTACTGAGTCCTCTGTCCACAACATGACCTGATTTCTTGACTGTTGTTACCAAGGGAAATCTGCTGTCAAAGGTCTATCCAACATTGTAAAGAACAAGGACGTCAGTTTAAAGACTCAGATACACAGGATCCAAGTGTTGGTATTTTCAGTTGCTTCACGTGCATCAGAAAGTTAAACAATTAATGAGGCAGAAGAAGAAGTGATCCCTTTGCATTGTGGTGCTGGCAAAGAATATTAAACACACCATGGACTTCAAAAAGACCCAACAAACCAGCTTTGAAGTGCAACCAGTGTGCGCCTTAAGAGGTGAGGATGGTGAAAGTTCATCTCACTTTGGGCATATTTTCATGAGGAACCGATCTTTAGAGAGAGACATCATGCTGGGAAAGGTAGAGGATCAGCGAAAGAGGGGAAGACCTTCCATGAGATGGACTAATACTGTGTCTGTAACAATGGACTTGAACATGACAGAGATCCTGAGGATGGTGCTGGGGTAGGGCAAGGTTCAGATCTGTTGCTCTTAGGGTCCACTAGGAGTCATTGTTTACTTGATGGTACCTAACAACAAGAAGAACAACGTCCCCG